TGTGTGTGTGTGTGTGTGTGTGTGTGTGTGTGTATGTGTCTTGTGTGTGTGTATGTGTCTCTCTGTGTGTGTCTGTGTGTGTGTCTGTATGTGTGTCTCTGTGTGTGTATGTGTGACTGTGTGTCTCTCTGTGTGTGTCTCTGCAGGTGTGTCTGTGGCTATGAGCTGCCGTGGGGTTTCTGAGAATGGACCCAGGGTTCCCTGGGAGAGCAGTCAGAGATCTGCCCTCCTAGAGCTGGGTCTCACTCTGCAGTCCTGGCTGCCCTAAAATGTACTGTGTAGACCAGGCTGGCCTCCAAATCCACCAGCTTCACCTCTTGAGTGCTGAGATTAAAGTTGTGCACCAGCAAACCCAGAGTCGTTTTTATTTTTATTTGTACGTGTGTGTGCGCGCGCACGCTCCTGAGCGTACATTTATGCACTCTCTGTACAATACCCACAATGCCTTAGCACTGACCCCCCTCTCCAGCCCACAGGGTTGATTTTCTACACTTTCTTCACCCTCTCATGGGTCCGTATCTGTATACTGACAGAAACACACACACGATAAGCTTAGAGTCCCACTGAATAACGAGACTTTAGGGCGACAACAGGCTCAGCGCCTGTGGTGACATTTTCGCCTTAGGCGTGAGTCAATACATAATGCAGAGGACACGGAGGAGCCAGTTAGGAGAAGTGTGGGTACAGCTAGGCCCCGTGGCCCAGCCCTGTAACACCAGCACTGAGGAGGCCAATGTGGGGGAACCACCGGTTCAAGTCCAGCCTTGGACTCAAAGTAAGACCGCAGCAAAGTGAAAAGTCTAAACAAGAGATGAAGAGGCGGAGGCAGGGGGTTGCAGGACACCTAAACTGCTTTGAATGGCGCTTTAGATGGTGGCTACGTGCGTGGGCATCTGGGACCCGTGCCACCCAAAGGCTGAACGAACTTCAACCTCGCCATGCCTTGGCAGATAGCTCACTGTATTATTCCAGTGCTGACCTGTCCCGTCCCCCCTCCCATCCCGTGAATCGTGCCTCATCCCCTGCCTTAAAACTGTGGGAGCTCAGTGGTACAGCCTGTGCTTTACTCTTGGGTTGCCATGGGTTACCTCTCCAGGGCCACAGAGGAAGGAGAAGGGGATATGAGTAGGAGAGAGGCCTTCTGGGAACTCTGGGCTTTCTGAAAGAATTTTCTTGCATTCCTAGAACTGCGGGTCCAGAGTTAAAGGAAGATCAAAGCTAAAAGTTACAGCGTGGTTTTTTTTTTTTTTTTTTTTTTTTAAGAAAAGAACACAGAGTTCTTCCAAAACATTTGCAGGAGCTAGAAGCCAGGCTCAGGACCCAATCGATGCCTTCTGCAGTTTCCTGACTTGGTTTCCCTTTTTTTTCAACACGTACAGATTGCTCTTAAAACCTGCTGGTTTTCGACAAGAAGAAACTGAAAAAACCCTGGAAAAAAAAAATAGCTGTTTCATGATGAATTCTTCTCTGGATAGGATTCTAAGGAAACCTAGGCTTGGGGGTGGGGGGTAAGGGGGTGGACCTTGTGAGAAGCCCCCGAAGCCATTGGCTGCCCGGGTCTGGGTGATTTGCATAGCCCCGCCCTCCCCGGGAAATCGAAAGTGAAAAGCAGCTGCATCCAGCTCAGCTCTGGGAAAGGGGGAGACACGGGATCTTGGGCTGCAGAAAGCTTCAGGGAGGATGGGACAGGGACTCAGCAGCATCCCGGCCTGGGAGCTGGACAAGTTCATAGAGGACCACCTCCTTCCCGACACCTGCTTCCGTCGTGATGTCAAAGCCATCATCAATATCATGTGTGATTTCCTGAAGGAGAGTTGCTTCCAAGACGCCGCCCACCCTGTGAGGGTCTCCAAGGTGGTGAAGGTGAGCCTTCCCCCCCCCCAGCCCCAGCTGACCCGGGTTGGGTGGGAGAGGGCCCTCAGGAGCCAGGCTGCAGCCCTGATCCCGTCTCCTCACCTCTGATCACAGCTGTGTGGTGTGGTGTGGTGGGTTCTGCCCCCAGGTCCCTCATCTGTGTTAGAAAAAGAGCCTCCCCTACAGTTTATGTTCCACCCGCCCAGGTCACATCCATTTCAGAGTCAGGGAGACTGAGGCCAAGCTCGGGGAAGCAGTTTTCTGGAGAGTGGTGGATGGGGGGCTCAACCTTTGCACTGCTGTGTGACCTTGGGTGAGTGAATTACCATCTCTGTGCCCAGGGTTCTCTGCACACCTCCTCATCCTGGCATAGGACATGCAGACTAGGTGTGACACAGAGGACAGAACAGAACCCCATATGCTGGTGACTGGATTGATGGATGATCACTGGGCTCAGTTCAGGGTCTTGGACTTCATCAGTACCTAATTTACTAGGAAAGCTGCAGAAATAAAGTTGTTTTCTTTTTCTTTCTTTTAAAGTTGATTTTATTTATTTATTTTTTAAATTTTATGGATGGGGGTTGTACATGTGTTAGTGCAGGCACCCTCAGAGTTGAAGGGTGGGTGTCACATCCCTTTTAGCTGGAGTTACCTAGGTGGCTGTGAGCTGGCTGGCCCGCATGGAGGCACTAAACTCAGGACATCTGGAACAATGGCAGGGTCTTTTAACGACTGAGCCACCTCTCCATTCCCAGACAGGACACTTGGTAATGACCACTCAACCGTGGCTGGGACTCATGTGAGGGATTATTCTCAGCATGAGTGCTTCTTCTTAAAATATTTTCTTTTCCAGATGTGAATCTCTTTTTACTAATTTTTTTTCTGTTGCTTGCTGATTTTTGTTATTAAATATTACGTAAGGCCGTTTTCTTACAAGTATGTGATGTCATGTGAGCACAGTCTACCAACTGGCAACGTTAACAATGGGGATCGTGACAACGGTTTCATAAGTCCATGTTAATTTACTCACAGTCTCCTCCCACCCACTACCATCCCGTCCTTTGCCCCCGACACTGACCTCGCCTAGAGGGTCCCTCTCTGATTGCATGTCACCTGTGTGCAGTGAGATCTAGAACCCACATGAGGGAAAATGTGCTATTTTGTCTTCCCTCATGACCCACTCTTTAGACGCCTCCCCCACTTTTCCCACATAGCCCCCCTTCTATCACACACACACACACACACACACTCATTCTCATAGACATTTTAATTCTAGACCCCACAGATAAACGCTGATGTTCATCATTCTGAGTCTGGCTTATCTCTTGAACCATGAGGAGATCCAGAACCATCTATTTTCCTACACTGATCCTGATTTCACTTTTCAGGGCTGACTAGTATTCCACTGCATATGTGCTGGCTTTCTCTATTCTCTATCCGTCTGTGACCCTGGGTGGTGGCCCCCTAGGCTGCTGAGGGTCTGGACTGCTGGGCAAGGCTCTGCCTGTCACTTGTCATTCTCATCATTGTCTTTCAGGGCGGCTCCTCGGGCAAAGGAACTGCTCTCAAGGGCAGGTCGGACGCCGACCTGGTGGTGTTCCTTACCAAACTCACCAGCTTTGAGGATCAGTTAAAGCAACGGGGAAAGTGCATCCAGGAAATTAAGAAACAGCTGTACAAGTTTCAGAGAGAGAGACATATTTGGGTGAAGTTTGAGGTCCAGAGTTCATGGTGGCCCTACCCCCGGGTACTCAGCTTCAAACTGAGCTCCCCCCAGCTCCAGCAGGAGGTGGAGTTTGATGTGCTGCCAGCCTATGATGTCCTGGGTAAGCCAGTCAGAGCCTCAGCCGGCCCTTCCGAGTGCCTCCTTCCTCCTCTCTTCTAATTCTCTCTCTCTCTCTCTCTCTCTCTCTCTCTCTCTCTCTCTCTCTCTCTCTGTGTGTGTGTGTGTGTGTGTGTGTGTGTGTGTGTGTGTGTG